TATCTCGTCCCCTCGCTGCTGCCTCTCACCGTCATGTGCATCGGCATCGTCAACGACGTCGCCGTCATCATCACAACTAGCACCACCACCCCCATCAGCACCACCAGCACCATATTCATCATAACTAGATGCATAACCAACGTTCTCACCACCACACCTCTACCACCATCATCACCATCACCATAATCATCAACATCCTCAACATCATCATCATCAGCATCACCACCAGCATCATCAGCATCATCATCGTCGCCATCATCATCCACATCAACATACTCATAATCAACACACGCATCATCATCACCGTCAGTTTAGCATTACCATCATCAGCATCATGATCGTAATCACCAATTTTGCTATCTGCATCATCATCACCACTGTCGTTGTCGCCTTCGTCATCATCATCATTATCACCCGCATCTGTATCACCCTCCACCCCGCATCAGCTTCACTACCATCGTCATCAACAGCATCATCTTCATCGTCAACATCATCATCGTAAACATCATTATCCTCATCATCGTCATCATCGCCGTCGTCATCGCAGTCGCCATCGCCATCGTCAAATCATCATCGTCATCAGCAGCATCATCACCACCAACACCATCGCCGTCGTCGTTGTAAGCGTCATCATCATCGACGCTGTTGTCGTCGCCATCGCCGTCGCCATCGTCATCAGCATTGCCATCATCATCAACACCTTCTTCATCATCATCATCAGCAGCATCATTATCACACTCATCATCATCGTCATTCACAGTATCTGCATCACCATCGTCATCATCATCACCATCATCATCGCCAGTATCAGCATCCATCATCATCATCATCATCATCATCATCATCATCATCATCATCATCATCACCATCACCATCAGCATCATCATCGCAATTGTCATCATCGTCAGTGGGATCGTCATCATCACCATCAGCATCAGCACCACCACCATCAGCAGCATCGTCAACAACATTATCCTTATCATCATAACCCGCAACATCAACATCATGATAACCACTATCCGCATAATAAGATTGGACATCGTCATCATGCTCCATTGTTGCCCTCGTCTCGCTGATGTTGCTACTGCTACTGATCCTACTCCTGCTGCCGCTGCCGCTGCCGCCCCTCCGCATCCCCACGAGGCACAGCGACCACACGGAGACCGCCACCTCTTTCGCCATTCGCAGCCTGCCAGCGCATCGATCGTCAATTTCGCATCCCGTTACACGCTCTCGCCCTCCTCGTCCGACTCACCCTGCAGGTGCTGATGCTCTCCTGCTGCTGCTGCTGCTGCTGCTGCTGCTGCTCCAAGGCTGCTTCTCTCCCACCTTCTCGTCCTCGTGAACGCACCCTGTGGAAATCCATGGTATCCTCGCTCCCCCCCCCCCAGGGCCCATCTTGGCGCAGTGCTCGGCCAGGATCTTGGCGCACTCCGCCGAGACAGTCAGGAAGACCGACTCCACGTAGACCACGCGTGCCCTCTCCTGGGGGCCCGGGGGAGAGAGGCCATCGCCCTCCCCCCTGCCAGCCCCTCGTTCTGGGAGGAGGCAGCGCGGAGAGGCGGAGGGTGAGGGGGCGTGGGGAGGGCGTCCCCCCGCCCCGACTTGATACCTCTCCCCCTCCCCATGCCCGTCCTCCTCCTCCCCCCCCCCGCCTTGACAATACCTCGCCCCCCCCATACCCCGCGGATCCTCGAGGATTCGTGCAGACCCCAGCGGGGGGGAAGGTGGAGCAGGCGAACCAAGAGGAAGCAAGCACAACACAACGAGTAGGAGGAAACAGGAGGCAGATGGATCCCCGCCTCCTCTAGACGCGCCAATGGTGCAGACGGGCTCGCCACGTAGACAGCTGCCTAAGCGCCTACGCCTGGCCCAGAGTGGTCCCTCATCGTCCTCCTCCTTCCCCTCCTCCTCCTCCTCCTCCTCTGGCCCCTCGCCCCTCCTCCTCCACTCCTCCTGTGAACTTCCTGCTGCTCATCCTGCCCCTGCTCCTCCAGCTCCACCTCCTCCTCCTCCTCCTCCTCCTCCTCCTTCTCTTCCTCCCCCTCCTCCTCCCCTTGCTGCGCATCCCCCGCCATCCCTGTTCATTATGCATGGCCAATCCCTGTCGCACCCCGGGGCGTGCTGGCAGGGCGGGCCAGGCGCTTCGCTTGACCCGTCCTCACCACTGCGCCCCTTAAGCTTACAACCTGGAAGAGCTGCACGGGTGAAGGGCGGGTCGTCTTCAAAAGGTTGCTCTCGCCTTAAGCGCCTCGCACGGCGGCAGCGGCCTGTTCTCTGAACGTGGCTCCCGCCTCAGCACCGTGCACAGACGTCACCATTGACAGCTTGCAAGAGCTTGGCGGACGGATGGCGGTCCGTTTCAACATGTGGCTCACGCCTGAGCGCCGCCCTTTTTCGTCTTATGAGTATACAGCAGTTTCAAGGAGTCTTGTGGCTGGCGTCTAAGAGGTGTTGTTTTGCAGCGGTGCAGGACTGTCAGGGCGCAACGGTTACGTTGACTCGCGGTGTTGAAGCCCCAGGAACGTAGTTCTGGAACGATTCAGGCTCAACATAACACAACAGTAATGTTGATCCGCGGCGTTGAACCCCAACAATGGCGTATGGCATGGTTCCGGATTTCCAGACGGTTGCCAACCATGTAGGGACCTTATGAACAGGGAGCTTGGGAAGGGGGATGTCCTGCACCATCGTTGGTGACTCTGCCTCCTCCTCCTCCTCCTCCTCCTCCTCCTCCACCCCTCACATCCTCCCCATCACCGCCTTCCTCCTCATCCCTCCTTCTCCTCGTCCTCCTCCATCCTCCCCCTTCAGTCCCCCTTCCCGCCCCGCCCGCCTCGCTCCTCGTCCTCGCCGTCCTCGTCCTCCTTCCTCCTGCTCCTCCTCCCACCCTCCTCTCGCTCCCTGCCTGCCCCTCCTCGACCCCCGCCGCGCGTCTCCACGGACTCCCAAACCTTGAAGCGGAGGTGATCCAGCTTGTAATCGCGAGCAGCACCTCGAGGAGGGGGGTGAGGAGAGGCGTACTCTTACTCGAGGTGCTTTTGCTGTGCGCAGCGCGACGATTAGCACCAGTCGTCGCATCATCATTGTGGTATGTCAGCGCTGTCGCTGTGAGTGCCCCAAGATCCTTCAGGCGAGGAGGAGGAGGAGGAGGGAAGAGGATGAGACGGACGCGGATGGGTGGGGGCGAAAGAGGAGGAAAAGCAGAAGGGGGGGCGACACAACGAGAGGGGTGGAGAGATGGCGAACGCCGAGAGCTCACGCTCAGCTCCTCATCCCCCTCCTCTCGACCCCCCTGGTTGTCTGCATGCTCGTCTTCCTCCTGCCCTTGCTGCTGCTGACGCTGCGACCCCTCCAGAAGCCTCGATCCACCGTAACAAAAACAGCGGGTCGGCGCCCCCAACCCGCTAACTAACGCCATCCTATCAACCAGACAAAAGCTAACCAACCGATTCGCAAACCTGCCAACCAATCAGCCACTCAACCAACCAATTCTCCAGCCACCACAATCACGCAGTCAAACGACAGAGGTGGCTGGCGGCACGGGGCAAATTGAGAGACGTAGGAGGGAGATGTATACATATACGTATATACACATGTAGAGAAAGCGGGAGAGACGACGACACGTGTGTTAATATATGTATGAAAGAGAGAAAGAAAAAGAGAGAGAGAGAGCGGTACACATATATATATATATATAAAAATATATATGTGTACAAAGGTATATATATATAAAAAGAGAGAGAGAGAGAGAGAGAGAAACAAACAAAACGAGAAAGAGAGGGAGAGAGAGAGAGAGAGTGCAATATCATGATAATGGGAGGAAGAGGTGAATAGCCAGGATAAGGATGAGCAGATGTCGTTCTCGTCGTTGTCGTCATCAGTCGTCGCAGAGTTCTCCGCCCTTCGCAGCTTTCCCCCTTCTTTTCCTGAACCCTCCTCCTCGAGCTCGCCAACCGCCACAACGAAAATAATCAACATCGTTATTGAGTCGAAGGGACGCCCTTCGGGTCATCCCTTCCCGGCGGGGGGGGGGTCGGGGGGGGGGGTCCACGGAAAGGGCCGGTCCCGGGGGGGGGGGGGGGCCCCGGGTCAAATGACATCCTCCTCTGGGGGGTCCTGGAGCCAAAAAAAAATCCCAAGACTGCCCAGGAGGCCCCCAAGACGGTCCAAGAGGGCCCTAAATCGGCGAACGACCTGTCCAAGACGCCAAAGACGGCCTCCTCACAGCCCAAGCGGCTGCCTAGACGCTCGAAGAGGCCTCCAAGAACACACCAAGAGGGCCCCAACAGGCAAAATTTAATGATTGCCCTCAGGGTTTGGAAGATACTGGCGTTCTCGCCTGTTCGGCTTCCCGACGCCCCAAGACGGCCCAATATGCCACCAAGATCGGCACAAGAGGCCCCTAAGAGATTTCCAAGACGGCCCCAAAACGAACCAAAAGGGCCCCGAGACGGCCCTGGAGGCCTCCCAGACGGCCCAAGAGGCCACCAAAACGGCTCCAAAAGGGTGCCCACACGGGAGCCCGACCGAACATCTCGAGCCCTCGGCCCCGAGCTCTCAGGAGGCCCCCAGGAGGCTCGAAGAGACCCCCAAGCGGCTCCCGAGAGGCCCCTAAGAGGCCCCCAAGATGCCCCAAAACCGCCACCCCAGAGGCCTACGAGCGTGGTCCGAAGAGGCCCAACGAAGCATCCCTGAGAACTCTGCTCCACATACGCGTCCTCGTCGCCGCCAACGCCGCCGTCGACGTCGTCGTCGTCGTCGTCCCCCGTCTAGGTCGGCGGCGCAGGCCGTAAGGCCTTTTCCCGACAGGCAGTATAAGGAGGAGCGGGGAGGATGGCGAGGATGAGGAAGAGGATAAGGAGGAGGAGGAGGAGGAGGAGGAGGAGGAGGAGGAGGAGGAGGAGGAGGAGGATGGCCGGGATCTGCCCGGAGGTGCACAGCAGGACCAGAAGGAAGACGAGCAGGAGGTGGAGGGCGACGAGCACCTAGCAGCGACGCCCCCGGCGGCCGACTCCCCGCATGCCCGCGCCCGTCCCCCCCAATTGGGCAGGCCCGGGCGGCCTGCGAAGGTGACGGTGGACACCGAGCTCGGTCTCCGCAGCGAGGCGTCCTGCGCGACGGGCGGGGCGGAGGAGCAGCGGCGGCAGCGGCAGCGGGAGCGGCGGGGAGGAGGCGTCGCGTGCCCGTGGTCCGTCGAAGGCCGCCCTCTCGAGGCCTCGAGTTACGGTGCAGAAGTGGGGCCGCCGGGCCCGAGGGAGCAGCTGCGAGGCAGGAGACCAGAGCAGAGAGGCGGGGGGGAGGGGGAGGGGGAGGAGGACGAGCTAGGTGCGCTCGCGTCATATCTGACATCCTACCCCTCCCTCCCATCCCTTACCATGGCGCAGATCCCCTCTCTACTCGCACAGTCGGATGTCAAGCAGGGCGATGATCCCGAAAAGATACGCGATGCATTGTAGAGCACGGCATCGCATGGCGTAGAAGAGCACCGCGAAGCGTAGTATCAACCCGGCATTGCATTGCATGCCGTGGCATGGCACGGGAAATGACGCCAGCGCTGCAGCGGGAGCACGAGTCGAAACGAGCGGAAGCGCGGAAATGACGCCAGCGCTGCAGCGGGAGCACAATTCGGAACGAGCGGAAGCACGGAAATGAGGCCAGCGCTGCAGCGAGAGCACGATTCGGAACGAGCGGGGCCCGAAAATGAGGCTGGCGCCTCAGCGAGAGCAGCATTTTTGAAAAATTGCACGCAAAAACCTAACTCTGGGGCCCAGGCGCCAGAAGCCGAAATTCAGCATTTTCAACCGAAAAATGTG